TAGGGGTTAACTGAACGCGGATGGAGGAAGTTTGAGCGCTGTTACGGCTAGAGTTCGTGTGGGATGGATGACATTTAGGGAACTGGGTGTGATATTGTGTGGAAAGAAATGGTCAGTGAAGATGAAAGGGAGGGTATATAAAGCATGTGTGGGAGCAGCGATGGTATATGGTGGTGAAACTTGGATGTTGAGGAGAGAGGAGGAAAGTGTACTGCAGAGGGCTGAAAGAGCTATGGTGAGGATGATGTGTGGGTTTAAAGTGAAGGATAGGAGGAGTAGTACAGAGCTGATGTCAATGATGGGACTGAATGAGGACATTGTGACATTGATAACGAGATCGAGATTGCGGTGGCATGGACATGTGTTGAGAAGGGATGAAAGGGTCGGGATTAGGCGAGCGTTGGAGTTCGAGGTTGAAGGAGTGATAGGAAAGGTTCGTCCGCGATTGGGATGGAAAGAGCAGGTGGAGAAGGACAGAGTAAAAGCGGGTTTGCGTGATACTGAGGCGAGTGACAGATGTGAATGGCGTCGAGGGGTATTTCGGTTTCATCATAGGTAGCCAAACGGCAACCCCGATCTCGGGGAAAATGTCGTCTAAACGTGTGTTGTGTGTGAGTGTATGTGTGTGTGTGTGTGTGTGTGTGTGTGTGTGTGTGTGTGTGTGTGTGTGTGTTGTCGCAATGCATGTTTAACTAGAACAACCTGTTGGCATGCCAAGTATTCTCTACTGTGCCTCGAAGCTTGATTTACCTTCATTTAGACAGCAATGATCCCTATTGTTGTTTTAGATATTTTCCTGACGACGAGGTCGATGTAATTGTTTTTAACAAATGAAAAAATATAACTTATTCATAAATTGTAATAATTCTCATTAGAACTTTATCAGTTTTTATTTATTGATCACCTCACTAAGTCATCATCTAGTCTATTAATTTGCCGTTACTTCATTTTATATTTCATTGTCAATTATTTTACTTTTATTTTTATTATTATTATTTATTTTATTCTAACTTATTTCATTTTTTATGTTTTAACATTTTTCTTCCTCACTTTTCGTTTTTATTTACTTACTTATTTGTTTATTTTGTTCTACTGCCTTTCATGTTGTTAACGTTTCTGTGTCTGTCAGATCCTGATTTTTGAAGAATAATATAAAAAAAAGTTTATTTAAACTGTAATATCCTATCAGGTTCATGGATTTGTGCAGCGTTACAAAGATGCGAATGTCGATGTGACAGGCTACGTAACTAACATATTAGACAACGTGACGCCAGAGGAACTGGAGGCATTCAATTCTATTTAATATCATCGCTTTGTAGGTGTTTGGTGATAAAAATGATAAATATCAACTATATCATCATTTTAATTCTTGTGACGACAGCGAACCATTTTATCGCAGTTTAGTAGAACTTACGAGATTTGATAGACAATTTTATACTTAATCATCGATCATGATTAGTAAATCATTTTATTTCGTTTTTAATTGTACAAAAATTGAAAATTACAAATTAATTCTTATAAATAACTGGTTGCGACGTTTTATTAGTTATTATCACCATATAATCGTTGTTGACTTCAATTTATGAACTCTATGTTTTATGTGTTTGTATATTTAAATTTTTTCTGATTGTTCATATTTTATCGACGAACAGTTTGTTTACGCGTTTTAGAATTTGTACTACGTAGTTTAAAAGTTTTCATTTATCTTCAATTTGATTACGGATATTTTGTTAATTTTTAAATAATTTTAATATTGCTCTCATAAAGTTGTTTTGCAATTGAAGTTCGTGTGTTAAACGTATTTAGTTCAATTTTATTAATTGAAAGCACTTTGCAAATATAAATTAAGAAATTCAAATGATAAAGCGGTGTGGACCATTCATCCCGTCATGTCATGACTGATTTTGTTTTGCGGGGACTGCGCTTTTACTTCGCTCAAAATGTTTGCGGTCCAGCCGGCGTTTTGTCCGTATCAAGTGCCGTGAACAATTTTGGTGCTTCTAAACAGAAATGTCTGTCTCTATAATATTCATTTATTTGTTACCATTATTAAATTTGTCTGTGTGAACGTTCAAGCGTGAACAAACACGTTGCAAGATGTATTTTGAAACAGAAAATCGAAAAACCGATCGCTTTCGTAAAAAGCCCTACGACTGTCAATGTTTCGTGAAAAAAGAAACCCATCACAACATTGTAAATTCACAACCAACGGTATTTCGTAGACCAGAGGCCCGTCAAATTAATCATCGAGCATCATATGTTTTTCGGCTTTTTTTCCAAGATGAATTAATTTTTTGCGCTTTTTTACAAACTTTTAATTAGAGATCTAGATTTGTCTATAATTTTCGCTACTTTACCATTATTTACTTGTTACTTGTCTGAACCAACACTCTATGTAATTCATAGCAAATGGGCAAATTTTTATCGGTTTGTTAAAAACCCTAAATTTTGAAAATTTTTGAAAACATTCTGCCCACAATCCGTAAGATGCTTTGATAATAAAATTCCTGTTGACAAAATAAAAAATTATAGGATTAAGAATTTTATTTTGTGTAATCATTCACTTATTAAGCTTAAAGAATCGCCGTCTAATAATAAAAAAATTGGCAAAAATCTTTACAAATGATATGCAACACAAATTCTGCAAAATAAATTTCCTGGCTCCAAAAAATATGGTTTTTAAGGAATCGATTCGTTATCTGATGAAGATGATGTGGATTCGTAGTTACCCTTCAATGCATCTAATCCGGAAAGGGAGTTCTCCAAAAGATTGCAATCACGAGTTATTTGTAAATTTTTATTTCCAGTTGATTCAACTATCTCGCTTTTGATATCATCAACACGTTCACTCGCCCTGGACCCCTCCGATGCAGTTAGATCTGACACAGGTTTGGATGATTCAACGCTTCGCTTACATTTTATATTACTGTTTTTTATGCTTTTCTTCAGGTTCGTTTTTACAAAATTGGATGGCAATGGTTTTGTAGCTTTGTTTTTCAAAGTTGAACTTTTGCTATGTATATTAAAAGCGTTTGAACATATTTTTTTATTCTTAGAAGAAATTATGTTTTTCAGAGTTTTAAGTGTTAAATCTTTCTTTTTGGTAGTTAATAACTTTACAGTTGGAGTGTGGTCTTCCTTGAGTTTAAAGATTGAAGTGCTTTGGATATCGCTAAAATCATCTGCAGATTCTGTAAATTATTCATTTAAGTTTAGATAGCTTTTACTTTAACAATAATAATATATAAAAATTTAAAAAGATTAAAATTTAATAATTAACACTTAGAAACTAAAAATCATTTTAATATTCAAAAACAAAATTTAAACTTGCTCGTTTGCGACGTATAGCTTAAAAGTTTGGCTTCTTTAGCGTCTTCATTGCTTTCTTTCAACAAACCTATGCTCAAACTCAATTTTTTTTTCAATGTTTCGTCTTTATCATGTTCTGCTTTTATAACTTTTTTAGATTCCTAATCAATTAAAAATCAAAATAATAAAATCTTTAGTAAAACTGTAATACAAAACTGAAAAAAGTTAAACATGACTTCCAGAAACAAAAATTAAAAAAGCATCTAAAACTTGACAAAATTTGCAGTTTCTAAATCCGAAACTGATACAAATGAAGCCAATTAAAAAAGAATGTAATATATAAAAGTAAGCTAAAGAAACTTCTTTAATTTAATAAAAATGAATAGTAATACGCTAGAAAAATATCTCATAACTCAAGACAAACACATAAATAAAAATGATTGGTAATAAAAATGATTTTGTAAACATTTAGTTTAGAACAAATGAACTTCCATTACATATAACAATTATAAGCAAGTAAAAGAAGTGTTAAAAGTGATGAAAGAACAATTCGAACAATTATATTATACCCTAAAAATTTTTCTGGCCATCTGATTCAAGGCAAAATCATCTTTATGGCTTGCATTATGATTCAACAACTGTGTTATTCTTGGAACTGCAGATTTACTTTTTGATTGATCAAATGAAGCATGTTCCAATTTGTACATGGAATCTAGTGCTAACTTCTTTTGGTTATCCTTGTCTTTACAAATAAAACATTCAATAAGGTTAGTAGTTATAATGTGGAAAAAACATTTGAGTACCTTCGGGCACAATTTGCTCGTTCTCATGTGGGTCCCATCTTTGCTCCTTTCTACGTGCGCCACAAATGATCACATAATCATGATTCTGATGAATGAAAAATAAATAAAGAATGAAGATACATTAGATCTTATATATATGTAAATTCCACGTTTAAAATGATTTTATCGGATTAACATGTGGCAGAAGAAAGTCACTCTATGATCTCTCTGTAAATTTCAAGTAACCAGTGAAGTCTGACAAATATTTTTGAAAAACAAATAGCAACAAACCATGGGATCAGTTTTTATTTCAATGTGGTTAGGACATAAATGGCATTTCATCCTAAACTTAAAAATTGGTGTTGTATAATAAGAACCAATCTTTGATTTCTCTGCATTGTACCTAACACCCATACCAATATGATTGTTACAGCCCTCACACCATATATTGTATGGCATTTCAAACCTGAAAATGATTAAAAAAAATAATTAGCTAGTTATGATAGTATGCTTTTCGAAAAAGACCATGCAATGAAGATGTGAATAAAAAGTATTGAAAAAAAACCAAAGATACCTAATAACAAGGATTCCTTGATCAAGCTTTCTCGCTCGTTCTCGAAGGGCATGTTGTCCATGGTATCCAGATAGTGATTTATGAGTTTTGTAATCAAAATCAGGTGGATAATATTTGTTTTGCCCTTTCCTTTCTCCCTACACAAATAATATTAAAATTAAATTTTAATAAATCTAATTCACTTCAAAAACTTTATAAATTACATTTAAAATGTGTAATGTAATTTTCTATTAAATTTTGGAATATTTTATAAAATGTCCAACATCAAGCTTGAAGTTTGGCAAAAAAAAGTTAGGCTATAATTGCAAAATGCCAAAATTGGAAATCTTTATAAATTATTATTATATTGAAAGGGATGATCTAGTATTTGTATTTTTTAATTATATTATTAATAATTATTAATTAGCAAGCATCATGATCTGTATGACAAGTTAATGGTTTTTAAATTTTAATATTTTATTAGATTTTATTAATTTATTAAATTTATTAGTGCAAATAAAAAATCTTTCACTTTACACTTTATTTTATTATATTCTCAATACATTCAAATCACCATAGGATCTTTCTTTTTTAAAGAACAGAAAAGAAAAAAGATCTTTGGACACAACAAATTATGGATAAAAGTAAAAGTAAAGATTACCTTTACTACGTGTACTATATTAATTAATAAATATACCATTTCCAAGTTTGTAAACACCAAAAATTACTGAAAAAAGTAAATTTTACTAAAAAAAACTAACCATTTTAAATATTGAGAGACAAAACGCAAAACGAAGACTGGAACTACGAACTTTCAATTTTAAACAAACAAAATAAAATAAATAAATAATTAACGTAAGGTAAGTTTTTCGCGTTTTTCACTTTTTTTTCCACTTTCCACGAAACACATACCTTTTAGAATATATATGAATGAATTTATATATATTTGTTATATTTAAAATATATAAGTATGTCGCCATATATATTGAGTATTTTTATATGTTATATTCTTTATATATGTATCACCTTAAATAAAGTGTATATTTACTCATGGATATATCCATGTATTTACTGCTTCGATTCTATACTACATATGTTTCTATGCGATTCTAAAGATTCTAACCAGAGTAAAATCGATTTTGTGTTAAATTTTAAACACTTTTAAATTGTGTTAAATTTTAACCACTTTTAAAAATTTGACGTCTACTCATTCTCCATCATCCAACAATTATCACCGTACTGTTGGCTGGCCGTCCAACTCTGAATGAACGTAGCGAAAAATCTCGTCGTCGCTTATCAGATATACGTTGATTAAAATTTGAAATCAATTTTGAGGATAAGAAATTAGTGTGTTTCAGTGTTAAATTATGTCCGATAGTGCGGTAAGAAGTATGATTTTGATTTGAATATAAAAAAATAAAATAAAAATACTACGTAATTATGTATGTATCATATTGTGTGTTCATATTGTATATAAATTATAAAATTTATAAATCATATTTTTCCACCCTATTCATTTAAATAAATAAAATAAAGTAAAAAAACTGATGATCTCCAACTATAACCAGTTTTGTTTGATACTCTCAAATATTTTTTTATTACTCTTCATGTTTTGTTTTAAATTTAGTATTCTATTTACTAATTTAATTAAAGTTCTTTTATTAAAATTTCAACAAAAGGCAAACATTTTTTGATGTCTCATTTTTATTCACTTTTAAAATAATCTGTTGTATTTTTTATAATTTTTGATACAGATTATGTCTGAGGATAATGTAATACCATTTGGTGAAGATGATGTTCCACAGGCTTCAAAGAAGTTTTTATATACCTTACAATTTCAGTTTTTTTTCTAATAAGACTAACTAGCACTAAGGACTAAGGAAATAAAATTTTGCATAAAATTGATGTTTTCAATCTGTAATATTTCATTTCAGAAATTCAGCTGTCATATTTTTTCACATAATTTTCAAAGCTTTAGCCATTTTTTCCTATTTGCTCTTCGGATTCATAACAGGTGGTTTTATTATAACATTTTTTGTTTGTAGTGTCTTGGTTTGCATTGATTTTTTGGACTACCAAAAACATTACAGGTATTGTAATCATTTGATAATCATTTGATATATATAATTATTTGACATATATAAGACTTATATTATGAGCTTGTGGTAGTTTTCTTATATTATAAGTAAACTACCACCAGCTCACTGCTTTAGACTGCATACAGTTTCTGGAAGTGGCTGGGGCCTTTGCAGGAATTACATCTTCATATTTTTCAAAATAGAATAACAAGTGGAACATTCAGTTTATTTACCAAGATTATTTATTTTTATTTGCTTTTATAATAAAACTAGGCAGATTTTTAATTTTCTATAAAATCTAGGAAGTTTTAAATATTTTTATTAATTGAATAACTGATATTAATTATGTTTATAAACAAATAAGACAATTTTTAATGTTTAGTGATGTCATTTTATCGAGTTTTTAGTAAGAAATTGGCAGTTGGATTGTTTCTGATCTTGTTAGAACTTCAGCAAACCTATAAAAATTAAAATTATTAAAATTAAAATTGTCATATGTTCTTCTTATCTAGATTATTTATATTTGACCTATATTAATGAATTGTTGCTATGTTATGATTGAATTCCATTTAAAAATATGATGATAATTTATTTTTGCCTGCATGCATGATTAATAATTTTAATTTGGTAGGTCGATTGCTTGTGGGATTACGATGGTGGAATTACGTTGATGAGGAAGGCAACAGCCATTGGGTTTTTGAATCTCGAAAAGTAACCATTTTAAATTAATCACCAAAGTTATTTATTTAATGCTGAAAGCATTACATCAGAAAGAAACCGGAAATGCAAAAATGAATAGTTATGGTTCAAGTTTATTTTGGATTTCTTTAACAGCTAGCGTTGTTTTATGGACGATTTTTGTATTAGCTGCATTCTTAACATTCAAATTCCAATGGTTGGTTAGTTGATTTCTCTTGAAACTCTATTTACTTAATCTGATTTTCACAATTCTCAACGAATTAGATGGTTGCTTGTGTTGGTTTTTGCTTGACTGGAGCAAATTTATATGGTTATATTCGATGCAAAGTGGGCTCTAAGAACAAAATAAAAAATGCAGCATCAAATTTTTTTGCTCAACAAGTAATTACTTTCTTATTCAAAAGTATATGTTTTTTAAGTTTTATTTTTATAATTTTCAGATGTTTTCAAGGTTCACAAGTTCATCAGGACTTGCTAATTCTAAATAAAATTAAAAAACTGTTGCATATGCTAACACATTTAGTTTACTTTTTATTAATGAATTGACGCCATCTGACAACATTTATGGCCCTTGTGTGAAATTTCAAGTCTCGTTACATATGCTGATAAACAAAATTACGTTTGTACTTCTTTATTATGGTGTTGTTTTTTGGTTATATTAAATTAATTGTTGCTTAGAGAGTGTATATATAGTTGAATGTCTTTCAGTTATAAATCGTTCTTTTCAAAATGGTGACACTTTATTTAAATTTTAATCACGCTGATTTTTTGGTTATTTATTATATTATGCAGCTCTAACGTAGTGGATAATTGTTGTCAACACTGTTGATTTTAAGCAAAAATAATTTCATTTGGCGCCCTTTTGCATAAAAACCACTAATTCTTTACATGAAGTTTCCAAATCAATATTTTAATTTGTAAAATTATATTTATTTGATTATAACTAAATTTTAAATTTCAAATTTGTATGAGGTCGCTATTAAAAATTGACGTAAGAACAATTTCATCTAAATTTTATTGTTGATCAAAAGTCCGAATTAAAGTTTTTGAAATTATCTTTCTTTTTTCTTTCTCGTGCCCCATCCTTTCAGGACATTGGCGGCCATCAACCTCTACAAAACCCGTTCTTTAACACATTGTAGTAATTGAAATGTGGTGATATTCAACAAGTGACACAAAGACTTCACGAATGTTATTCGTTGTAGACCGCGATCTTTTTTTCCTGAAATCTTACCAGTAGTTGTTAAATGTGACCAAAAAACTTTAATTGTCCCCGTCGAATTATCTATAGTAATTTCCTCTTGTCATAACCGGACTGTTATTCCTTGTCAAACCTCCTCATTCGAAGTATAAGAGATTTGATATACCATTTTTATATGTCACCCTGGACTACTGCCTAGGCTACACTTTTATCATCATATAAATAGAGTATATAAATATAAATAGAATATAGATTCTATATTCTATTTATATGCTTGTCATGCTTCTCGTACACGCAGACGAACATAAAAGGTCAACAATTTCAGCCATCGCGTACAATAGGTCAACAATTTCAGCCATCGCTTATGAAATCTTCTAAAGTTCGGAGGAATCAATGAAATTTGCGTAAACCCACGCCAACACATTTTTTGTGTGAATATGTAAATACTTATTTAAATTGTGATAAAGTGATTGACATACTTTTTGTTTGTTGACGATGTTTGACTAATGATAAAATCCATGAATTTTACACCTATAAATAATGCAATGCTATTATTTTTTCTCCATAAATAATATATACAAACAGGTTTGTACACTTTTAAACATTTTGTATTTAAATCTGAACTTCTAACTTGTTAGTTGTGGCATTTATACTAGTTCTTTGTATTTTCCAAAATTACATAACCTGTCAATCGTTTAGTGCAAATTGATATCCGGCTCAGTTGCTCAGAAATGCGTTTGTCTAATTTCAGTCATCGCGATTTACAACAAAATGTTGTGGATAGATTGCTCGATCACGGCATAAAAACTGCGGCCGATTTTCTCAAGCTAAATCCCTTTGATGTCAGTTTTCGGACGAAATTAACTTTGCGAGAGTTATATAAACTACGCTGCTTTTTGGTAGAAAAAATGAACTGTGCTCCAGTGTCTGCCTTCCAGTTTTACAAAAGCATGACTGAACAAAGGTCAATACTTAGTACAAATATAGAGACCCTGGATCGCCTATTGGATGGTGGTTTGCACACAAATGAAGTAAATCTTTTTGCTGTTAACACAAGTTTTCTGATGAGTTCTACAATATTAAATATTAATACAAAATATATTTATATAAGTTCGACCACTGAACAAGTGGCAGAGGAAACTGGCAATTCTGATGAACAAAAACAATTAGCTGCTATTAACTATAACTGCTACACACTTTTTAATTTTTTTGAAGTAATTAACAAAATTCTTAATTGTCATGTTCCTTATAAAGAAAAACTGATAATTGTAAACAATTATTCAGACTTCTTGAAAGTATTTATAAAGGGTGTGTCATCCAATGATTTAATATTCTTTATCAAGCAATCATTCAGATTGATGACAAGACTATCTATTGATAAAGGCTTTTCTATTTTAGTATATTTTACTGATGTTGAAATAAAAAACAAACTGAAATTACTGGATTTATTGAAAACCATGGTATCGTCTGTTATAATTTCTAACAATACCAAAGACTCTACCAATAAATATGATTTGGTAAAATCTGATCGGCTGGCATTATAATAAATTGTTGTCATCAATGACAAAAATACATTATAACTCGAGCTTTATTTTCTTTTTTTCTTCAGTCATTTCTTCAGTGCTTTTCTGTTTCAATAAAATTATCAACTTTTAACAGATAAAAACTTAGCAATTATTTAATTACCTTTTTTCTCACAAGATGTGTTATATTGTTGACTGAACTTGATTTCTGTTATGCATATTAAAACATGTTCAAATAGTATGTTTTCAAAAAATCATATTAAAACAATCCTAGGAGATAAGACAAGATTTTGTTGGAGTTATTACAAGAATTCAGATTTACTAATTGTCCAACCTACTGTTTATTCATATTCTAAACTTTCTAATAATTTTTTGTTGATCTCCATCAAGTGCTGAAATTAATCTTTGCAAGACCGAGATTTTTTTTTTATAGTTGACTTCTATTAAATGCTTAATTGACTTCAAAACGAAATTCTCACTCCTGACACAACTGCCTTTCTACTTTCACAAAGGAAATACTTAAAAAACATGATATTTTTAATGTTTCAAGATATATGGATAAATATATTCAGTTGAATATTCAATATTGAATACTGAATATTGGAATATTCAGTTGAAATATGAATATATTCATAAATATATTCATATTTCTTTCTAAAAATAAATTAAGTTTGCATTAGATATGTATAAAAAAGTTGTATGTAATAAATGTATCTAGAATATAAACAGTGAACGTACAAATAAAAGTTACAAGACAAATGTAATAAAGATAACATAGTGTGTGCTACCTGTTCATCGTTGTTAGATTTGGAATTAGTGCAATTTTCATCATTTGTTACAGCCGTTGAACTGGTAGATTGTTTAGTGGGTGTCAGACTTTCTTTCATCAGTATGGACACCTTTACGGCGTTGCATTCTTCATCTTTTATTTCATCTATCTAAATTTATCATTGTCACACATTGATGAATTGTTAAATATTTTATCAAACATACAGATAAATTCAACAGTAAATATAAAGATTTGAATACTTTTAAATAAATTTCTTTGATAAGAGCTTCAAGTTCGACAATTTCTCTGTCAGCTAATTCAATTGGAGTGTAAAACCCATCACCTGCATCGTCAGGCCTTGGATCTAATACTCCTTCTGAAACTTTTTTTAATCGGTCTTTTCTTTTCTCCAACAGCTTAAAAATTTGTATAATTCAAAATAAAGTTTTCCACGTCCGTAATAGTGTACTGTGCGCAACATTAGTTCGGCATAAATGTGTGTACGTAAAATTTGAAGATTTTAGCCGCAAAAAAATAGCTTTAGTTGAATATGAGGCAAGACAAGAAAGAAAAGACAAAGAAAAAACACCAACAACAAGAATGACACTAAAATTGAATAGCAAGAACAAAAAAAACAGGAATTAGACTTCATTTTTTTTTTAAATACAAACTTTACCTGACAAAAACAATTTAATACGATATAATCAAAACAAACCTCAATAGTCTTGTGAAAAAACTCAGAAGCTGGTTTGTAATCGTTCTTTAAAGTATAACCTAGACCTAATTGATAAAGTGTCTCAGCTATTAATCTGCTGTCACATGGTAGATGTTCTTGTTGCAAATTCAGACACCTCTCATAGTCTTTTACTGCATCCTCAAATCGTTCTTAGTTAAAAACAGATTCATTATTAGTGCTAATACAATAATTTAGGTAATTTTTTTACCTGATTCTAAACTCACATCTCCCAATCTAAAATATGTGTCAGACAGTTTTAATTTAGCGTCAGATGAATTTTGTCTACAAATGGAAAATAATTTTAAAGTGTGTTTTTATCATCACAATCCATATTTTTCATTTATAAGCCCATATATAGTTGATTGCAAAATAACGTAATGCGTAGATAAATTTATTTTCACCTTGGAAAATTACAAAAATAACTGAAATAACTGATTATACTGAAATCAAATTTAATTGATTTTAAAAAAGCTACCAAAAGTCAAAACTTATCTGAAACCTTAAATATATAACTTTAGCTAATTCCAGAACTTCCCAAGCCAGTTGAAGTGAAGAAACATCTTCCTAATTTGTTTGATATTTAATTATTTATGAACATCTTCATAAATATTTAATTACTGTATTTTAATGAACAAACTGTGGTTCAATATTGCAAACCTCTTCAAGTTCCTTGGAATGAAGTTTAGATGTTGATGCATCATTAGATTCATTTGCATTGGCACATGTCCCATTGTTATTATTAGATGTACATTCACTTTGTGGTTGTTCAGAACTCTTCTCAATTTTTTTCACTGATTCTTCGCCATTACTGTTTTTAGCAGATTTATTATCAGCATACTCTTCATATTCTTCATCAACCAATTCTTCTGATGACCCACTATGAGCCGAACTGTTGTCATCATTCTCATTTTCTTGTGCATCATCATCTAAATGATTAATCGTAAGTATTGTAAACTTCACAAATTAAACTTATAAAATACACTAAGAATAAAAATAAGTAGTTACTCTTATCTTTGCTTTCCTTGATTTCATCATTTTCATCATCATCATCGTCATCATCATTTTCATCTTTAGTGTAAATGATTTTATCTTACAAAATAATTGTTAGATAATTGATAATGTAATAATAACCATCGCTTTTCAAAACGTTTCCAAGAGTTGTGGATTCCAATCTATGAAGTTCCAACAAAGCTTTGCCATATGAATAGTAAACATCTGAACACTCATTAGCTAGTTCTCCATACTCTTGTGCACTATTAAAATAAAATATTGCTGCAATACAATGCAATGCCAAAGACCTTTTGAAATGTTGGAAAATGGTGATGGATAATGAAATCAAGTGGAATACAAAATTTAAATAGAGTTTATTCAGATGGAATTAGTTAGAAAAGTTAGGTCTAACAAAATCTTTGAAGCCTCTTCCAACTGGCTCACAGCTTGATGAATTTCACTGCACAGCAAGTTACGTTTTCCTTGAGCAAGCAAATTGATGGCATCTACCAACCGTTCGTTTGGTTTTCTGTATAAAAATCAAGTTTAAAACATCTGAACTGATTGTTAAATAATTTTGTAATTTTTTGTTTACTAAAAAAATAAAAACAATATTTATTCAATATTTGTAAACTGTAAAAATTAATTATTAAGAAAAGATGTAAAAATAAAAATTGCTCCATGATGACAAAATGTATTTACACTTGATAGATATTTGAAATATTTGAATTTTGAATAATCAACTGTAGTTATATGTTCAACAATGCAAATAAATTTTTGTTATCAAGGAGTGGACATCCAAAGAGAGATGCCAACAGCAAATGTCTGTAGAATGCTACCAATATGTATGGTTAAATAATTGCTCTTGTAATCTCTATTTTATTGACATAAAATATATAATTTAAAATAACATTCAAAAATTACAAAAATTGTTTTTATATTTCAACTAAAAATAATGAAATGAGAGCTAATAGGATCATCTTAGCTAAGGATGAATATTTATAGGATGTCCCAAATATTTTAATTAATATAGCTGTAATTTGTAACACATGACATTTTTATTTTACCATGGCACCATAGTGTAGAAATTATTGAGCTCTATAAAAAACACTAATTAACAACAACAACAACACACGTTTAGATGACATTTTCCCCGAGATCGGGGTTGCCGTTTGGCTACCTATGATGAAACCAAAATACTCCTCGATGCCATCCACATCTGTCACTCGCCTCAGTATCACGCAACCCCGCTTTCACCCTGTCCTCCACCTGCTCTCTCCATCCCAATCGCGGACAATCCCTTCCTACCACTCCTTCAACCTCGAACTCCAACGCTAGCCTAATCCCGACCCTTTCATCCCTTCTCAACACATGTCCATACCACCGCAATCTCGATCTCGTTATCAATGTCACAATGTCCTCATTCAGTCCCATCATTGACATCAGCTCTGTACTACTCCTCCTATCCTTCACTTTAAACCCACACATCATCCTCACCATAGCTCTTTCAGCCCTCTGCAGTACACTTTCCTCCTCTCTCCTCAACATCCAAGTTTCACCACCATATACCATCGCTGCTCTCACACATGCTTTATATACCCTCCCTTTCACCTTCACTGACCATTTATTTCCACACAATACTCCAAAACACTAATTAACTATTCTTATTTATATACTTCAGCTTGGTTATAGCCGTCATCCTCAGCAGCAAAAAATAGAGACTTAATGTTGGCTAGGAAACTTTTGAAATGTTATAAATTATTGATATCTTATTTATAGGAAATAAAAAGTTAAAAATAAAATATTCCAGCTCTTTGTTTTTTGTTTCGCTAGGGCTAACACCTGGCAGTTCTTTCCTTTCATTTTCATCGTTTTATAACTGATAATTCAGGAAACCATTCTTGATCTTGACTTAATTCTTTTCTTTCCATTTCCAATGCTGTTTTTAAAAAATAAGTACTGACTCTGATTGTTGTTATGGTGCCTGTGATTAAGATTACTGATTAATAACCTTTTAGAGAGCCAGCCTTGGCTTGCTTTCTTGGTCCAACAGAGCAAAAACACAAAAATTGACTTACTTTAAGTCTTTGTTTAGGCAATTTTCCATTGAAATCAAGATTGTTTAAATAAAATGCTGCCAAAAACAAAATAAAAAATAATTTTTATTTTTAATGAGCTGAATCGGCTTTTAAAAGTTAAATCGATTTTAATCTTATTTACCAGACTTTTTGCAGCGCTGTTAGCATAATTTATACAATTACATAGTTTATAATTTGGTCGTATACACCGCAAGTCGGTAAACTTTTTTTAAGGCACATAATTATAGATGTCAAAAAAACTGAGTTTTTTGCACACATACATACAAACAAACAAACAAACAGATACATACACAGATACACGCACAAATAAACACACACACACACACACACACATATATATATATATATATATATATATATACATTTTTCGCTACGTTGGGTTTAGCCGTATTTGATTATTTTCTCTGCGTTTTTGTAATTTTTGTGATATTTATATCGAGGTTATGTTGTTAATTTTGGATCTCTTTTAAAGCATAAATTAAAAGGAGTATCACCGTATTTTTATTTTTTGAATTAGTTAACAATTTAATTAAATAATTTAATTTAGAATTAACTTGTATTGTCATATAGCTTTTTTTTTAAACTAGTTGAATATAATTTGTTGTCGTCAACGCATAAGGAGTGTTGTGTACGAACATTAACTTATATTCTATCTTTCAATATTATAAAATGAAAGTTAAACTGTTTTTTGGTGAAAATGAATAAAAATAAATGTTTGCAATGTTCAGAGGCGAAAGGTCAGGGGAAGGCTGTTAAATGTTCTCAGTGTGAGTTCTTTGCGCATGCGAACTGTGTTTCAATTCCTGAAGAGGTTTGCAACCTCTTGGATTCCAGCACCAACCTCAGATGGTTCTGTGATAGATGCTTAAGTCTGGGACCTAACATTAAAAAGTTGACCAGCTCTGTCGATTCTCTCAGAAAAGATGTTTTCAACAAACTCAACACATTGAACGATTTGAATGCAAATATAAAGTCAGAGCTCGGGAATATCAACGCAGTAATAGAAAGTAATAAAGAAAAGTTAAACCAACTTGAGAGCTCTGATGTTTTTCGTGGTGAATTGAACACCTTGAAGATATCATTTGCAGATATCGTCAGTCGCGGGATTAAAGGACACACTGATGATATCAAGGCTGAAGTAAAAACAGTCCAGGCGACAATAAATGATGCTTAACCAATCAAAGAAAGAGAAAATAATCTAATTATGTTTCATTTGCCTGAGAGTGGCAGTGATCGGGTGGACGTCATCTAGTTAACGGAAAAAAATCAGACGATCATACTCGACCGCTGCTTTTGAAAATGGATAGTGTTGACATAAAAAATATGATAATTAAAAACGTCTCTAAATTAAAATCGCTTGACGTCGGCCTGGGTCGCATCGGACTCAGTCACGATCTCTCCCCAGAGCAGAGAAAGGAACTGAGGTCAAAGATAGAGGAGGCAAGGGCATTGGAAGCTTCTGACAAGGGTTTTTTATACCGTGTAAAAGGTCAGGTTGGCAAATGGAGGGTGGTGAAATTTCTGGTAACTCAGAGACAGACCTAGGTGTTCAACTGACGAATACTAATGATGTTGGTGGTGATGATGGCTTTCATGGTGACTTTCTGACGACAAAGAGTATTGGTAGTAGTAGTTTTGTTGGTAATGCTTGTGGGTATGATGATGGCCGTGGTGATGATATTAGAAAATATTCGATATCAAATTGTAATGTTAATGATTTTAAAAATTATGGTCATATTAGTGCAAGTGATAGAGTTAGTGGGAAAGATGGTGGTGGCAATTTTAACATAAAAGATGTTAGTTTTAATTTGTATAATAATAGTAATGTTGTTGGTGGTGAAGATTTTGGTGTTCGCAGTCTGACGCTTGGGGTTATTGGTGACGATTATTTGGATTCATCTCTCGACGGTAATAAATGTTTAATGATGAAAGGCACTGGCAATGACTTAAATGGTAATGTTAATTTTGGTTTTGTAATGATGGTCATGGTCTTGATGGTGGTGGTTATTCGATGGTCTGTGGTACTGGAAGCGATCTGAACGTTATTGGTAAAAATGGTTGTGGTAAAGATGATGGTAGTGATTGCGTAATAACAAATGATGCCGGTAATGATCGTAATGAAAGTGGTGGTTTTAATGATCTTAAAAAAGTAGGTAATAACAATGTAATGAAAGGTGGTGCTGTTGGTAGAAATATTGGTGGAATCAAAATTGATCGGACTAATAATAACTTTTGTGTGGTTAAAATAAAATTGGGTTTACTAAATATAAAATCGATTGGCTCGAAGTACAACATCATTTATGATTTGATCAGTGATGGTTTGGATATTTTTGTTGTTACTGAATCATGGCATGGTTCATCAGAAAATCCCTCCATTGCGTTATCTACTCCTCCTGGTTACCGCTTTGTAGATTGTGTAAGAGATCACGACCCTCTCCATGGTGGATTGATAATATTTTTTCGTCTATGTTTAAAATGTAAAAAAATAGCCTTACCTACAGTTACAACATTTGAAGTTTTGGCGGTAAGGCTCACAGTTAATAGTCAGGAGTTTATTTTGCTCGCTATTTACAGATCGGGTTCTGCACAGCTGTCTGGATTATTTTTTAAAGAACTGATTTCTATTCATTACAGTACTCAGTTCTCGAATTATTTTAACCGGGGACTTCAATGTGCACGTTGAAAAGACGAATAATCCTTATGCTGCTAATTCAAATGATATCTTCGATAATTTTCAACTCATCAATCGTGTAAAAGCACCAACACATTTACGTGGTGGTACACTAGACTTGATAGTAACCTCCGAGGATTTAACAGTTCATGATTGTTTAGTCCATCCAAGTGGAATTTATTCTGATCATAGTTTTATTTGGGCTGAACTGTCGATGACTCGAGGATATTTGGTTAGAATTAAAAAAGTTTCTAAAATGTGGAATCAGATGAATGTTGATGACTTCATCAAACTCGTGCTTGAATCTCCACTCTCCAAATCATGTCAAAGCAATGAGGTAGACAAGGAATTGCATTTATTTAACAACGAGTTAAAATCTATTGCTGATAAAGTTGTCCCTATTCGTGCAGTGACCACCAATAACGTTCGTATGGCTCCGTGGTTTGATTATGATTGCAGGTTAGCCAAGCGTTTGTGCAGAAAAATGGAAAGAAGATACAGAAAAAGTTCACAGTTGATTCATCAAGATGAATGAAAAACTGCGTTGAAGAATAAATCGGAACTTTTCTCTAAAAAACGTCGTCAGTATTGGACAAAAATTGTTGATGACAATAAGATGAAACCAAAAAATCTTTGGCGGGTTGTGAACAGCATTCTCTGTAGGGGTCGTAACGATAAATCCTGCTCGGATATGGATGAACTAACACCTGATCGATTTATGTGCTATTTCAATGAAAAGTTAAGCAAGCTGAGAGATAGTGTCAACAACGATGCTCAACCAAGCCTGGCAGAATTCCAGTCAGGTGTCAATAATAGTTTGTTCTCAACGTTTTCTATGGTTTCTGAAGAGGAGGTAATACAGTTAGTTCAAAATTCACCTACAAAGTCGTGTCAACAAGATGTAATACCTACCCACGTATTAAAGAAGTTTATAAAACTATTCGCACCATTTTTGGCAGACCTTATAAACAGCAGTTTAAATGTGGGACAGTTTCCTTCTGGCTGCAAGCATGCTATCATAACTCCGCTGCTGAAGAAACATAATCTAGACGAAAATGATGTTGGAAACTACACACCAATTTCTAATCTGTCTTTCCTATCCAAAATTATCGAACGTGTGGTTGCCAGGCAAACACTCAGTTACTTGAACAATAACAATTTAATGCCGAAATATCAATCTGGATTCCGTCAGTACCATTCGACTGAAACTGCTCTCTTGCAAGTTTTTTCAGAAGTGTACGGGGCAATTGATGAACAAAATGTGGCAATGCTAGTCTTTCTTGATATGTCATCCGCATTTGATTGCGTAGATTACAAAGTACTTTTAACAAGACTACGTTGCAGTTTTGGAATCTCTGGTGCTGTTCTGAGGTGGTTTGAGTCGTATCTGTTAGGTAGATCACAACAGGTATCATTCGGTGGTAAATTGTCTGAGGTTAATGTTATGCTGTCTGGTGTGCCACAAGGTTCGGTTCTAGGTCTTATTTTATTCCTGATCTATACATCTGAAGTACTAAAGATAATAGAATCATTTAGTTTTTCAGGTCATGCTTTTGCGGACGACTTGTAAATTATTGTTAAGAGCAGGCCAGATTCTTTTAAATCAGAATTGGACAAACTGGTTAAATGTTTGTCTGGGGTCAATAAGTGGATGCAAAAACTAAACCAAAACAAGACTGTTTTTTACCAATTGAAACATGGCAGCAACTTTCAAGAATAGATATAAATTCAATAACTGTTAATGATGAGGTCATCCCATTTTGTCAGACAGCAGCTAATCTGGGCTTCATGATTGATTCAGGTTTGTCAATGAAACAACACATTAAGAAGCTCTCAGCCGAATACTCGTTTCAAATCAGGAAAATCAATCAAATTCGACGATCCCTAGATACATCCACGTTGCAGACGTTGGTTCATGCATTTGTGCACTCACGCGTCGACTATTGCAACAGTTTGTTTTATGACTTACCTGATCGATTCATGGCTGTACTTCAATCAATACAAAATCGAGCCGCAAAAGTTGTTGTTGGAGCTCTAAAATACGATCATGTGTCTCTAATATTGAAGGAACTTCATTGGCAAACCGTCGACAAAAGAGTGTTGTTCAAAATTTCAACACTTGTCTACAAGTCTAGCTCCATCTTATTTGTCTGAGAGGTTCAAAAAGAGATCTTCAAAAGCATCTGGAACACACTTGAGATCCGATGTTTCAAACCTGCTGTTGATCCCAACAACGAGTCTCCGTATAGGCTCTCGTAACATTGCTGTTTCTGGACCAACTGTTTGGAACAACCTGCCTGCTGCTCTCAGAAATCCGGACCTAAACCTGCGTGATTTCAAGAAGAAACTGAAAACTCATTTATTTTCATTGTAATGCATTATTGATCAATTCTTTCTGTTTAGTCGACATGTTCTAAATATTATTTTGTATTTTCGTTATATTGAATCGATTACTTTTCTGTTTATGACCAAATTTTAATCTTATTTCTGTGCGATGTATTATGATTTCTCGTTTGTTATTTCAATTATGTTGTTAAGTTCAGTTTTTGTTAGATAGCGCTTTTGAGATTCCTTTAATTAGCGCTTCATAAATGTTTCAATAATATATATATATATATATATATATATATATATATCAAAATATGATTTTTATCTATTCATACATATATATATATATGTATATATATATATATGTGTGTATATATATATAGAGAGAGAGTGAATTATTTATTAATATAATTATATATAAGTATATATAATAAAAGATTGATTCCAACTTCTTCCCACTATAGTATTAAGTTTTCTGTAATGCGATCGATACTCCACTTTGATAAAGTTCATTTTTAGTTTAGGCATACGGACTGAATTAAGTTTGAAAGCATCATTACATCAGATATATTTTGTTTTTTAAGATAATAAGTTTGCCTAAAATATGGTAACTTAAACGGAAATTTATTATTTGGGTAATATTAAAAATCTAAAATAAAAATCTTCGACTAGATCTTATATAGTAATATAAAGGATATATACCACTAATTGCTAACATATATTTTTCATGAAATAATCAAATTTTTTTGTTAAATAACAGTTTTAGTGTACACATTCAGTAAAAGAATATGTTACTTAAATTTACCAACTTCAAAATAAAATTTCGTTGAACACAAAATGAGTAAGAGAAAAGAAACTAAGAAATGACGCTTCAATGTGTCATCTGTTTGTGACATGCCGTTTCGTAATAACTGTCAACGCATTCACCACAAATTGTAATTGAAAATTCTTCATCTGTTAATTACGCGTATGGGTACTTAATATGTTTAATATTTACATAAGCTAAACACAAATTGTAGTTCTTGGTGATCATTGCAAAGCCAATCAGAAAATTCACACTTAAAAATTTTTGTTTGAAACAATATCGTCTGCGCACACAATCAAATACACACACACACACCGTATATTTATACAATGTTTATGTATGTACCAGTTACTTATTTATATAGATGCATGATGCATGTGTAGTTTTTATATACATTTATTGTATCAATGACTGCATATATCTAGTTTGTTTGTATGTTATAAGTTATCGACCAATGAATTACATTACAAGGTTTATATTGTTTGTTAGCGCTGAACATCAGACGATATTTACTTCTATTTGTATAGTTTTATTTTTGATATATTGATACTTTTTTTGAAATTAATATAAACAATTTTGTTTAAATTATCAGTAATAAATGACTATGGCTTCCTACTTGAAAACATCAATGATATCTGAACAAGCATCTCAAAAGTCATCACAAAATTTTTCAATTCAGCAAAGCGGTTTTCAACAAAACGTCAGCGGTGGCTATTTTGAATTTGATGACGGCGGATGTTACGCTGGAGATTGGGTTAATGGGCAAGCATATGGCTATGGAAAATGTACCGGACCGCAAGGCAAGGGAGAGTTTAGTGGAACATGGAAAGCAGGATTCGAAGTTTCCGGTGTTTACACGTGGCCAAATGGAAACACGTACGCGGGTCAGTGGCTTGATGGAAAGAGAGGGGGCTTGGGTGTGGAAGTGAAAGAAAATTGGAAGTACAAAGGAGAGTGGATGCAAGGGTTGAAAGAGAAATATGGAGTTAAATACAATGTAACTTCGGAAGCAAAATACGAAGGCACCTGGTTGGCGGGCATGCAGGACGGACTGGGAGTTGAAACCTATGTTGATGAAAGTTAGTTCATCGTTGTTACTCTAACTGAAAATTGTATTTTAAATGTTGATATTAATACAAATCGATGCATCAATAAAGCGTTTATAATATCTGTGATAATTTCTGTATTCAAAAAATTTTATATATTTTTTCTTCTAATATACATATGTACATAAATATATATTTATATATTTTTCCTCCTGTATATATATATATATATATTTATATTTATATATTTATAATATATATATATATATATATACCTGCAATTTGTTGTCAACAAGAAATGTAAAGATTAAATTTGCATGATGTGACTGTAGCCAGTCAAATCTGTAAATTAATTTTTCTAGTTTCATTTTTTCTGCAAGCATAGAAATAGTGGGTGCTTCCATTTTGAATATTTATCACATTTTGCTTTTATGCAATTTTCATACATTATCAATTATTATTCCTTTACTTGTTTATAAGTTTTTGTTTACTTATATATATATATATATATATATATATATATATATATATATATATATATATATATATATATATATATTATAGGCAAAATGTATATGTACGTTAAAAGTTATACATATAAATAATTTTATTACAAATATACAACTAGTGACTTTTCAGACGACTGTCTTTGTACTGTACATTTGCAAATGCGTGTACAACATAACGGTTTTAATGTTTATTATTAATAATAATGACGTTGCAGTTGCACGAGAAATTGCGAATTAATAATTCAGACAGATGTTGAGGCGCGAAGTATGCTCCGCTCTGCGTGCACGTGCTCACGTGACTAATCAATAATTCACTGAAGTATTGTTCTTCTTGTTTACAACAGTCGCTCATCCAAATGAAATATACCTACCTTACTGACTCATGGACAACCTAAATGTTTATAAGTTAAAATAAATTAGTAATGCTCAATATTTGAACGATGTTATAAACAAAATTAAACTTTTAGATGAAAACAAATCTTTAATATATATGTATGTGTATATATATATATACAACATACTATAAAAATACACAACATACGATATATATATACAACATACGAAAAATTTATAAATATGTTTATTATATATATATATGTGTGTGTGTGTGTGTGTGTGTTTGTGTGCATGTGTATGTGCACGTGTGTTTTTGGGTGTGTGCGTATAATTATTTCTACATATTTTGATAAATATATGCATACAGTTATATGTATACAAATTTTATGATATATTTTTCATGTGGTCAGCATATGTCAACTAAGTTAATGGTTATGCCAAAAAATTTTTGAGTCAAGTACACATTTTTTTAACTCAACCAGTTTTCATTTTCTCCAGTTTCTTCTTGAGCAATTTTTCTTTCTCCAAAATTTTCAGATCTCTATTGCTATCTTCAATTCTATAATCCCCATCATGGTGTTGCATCTTATTGCCTTTATTCTTTTACCTTCTTTTGTCATTTGCCTTGGTTTTATATAAATGTTAGGATGGCTCAGTTATTTTAGGTGAATATGAAGTTGTTGCGGTTGCGCTAATATAGGAGAACACCAAACAAGGAAGATCAGTGAACGGGAGTGAAAAGAAGAAAAAAATAGTATTCGTTTGGATAGGCTGGACTCTTGTTTCGTCTCTACCGGGAACTAATAAACAGCCCGAATACCTATCAGAATAGTATCGCAGTTTTCTTTCTTTATATAGCTCCCACAAATCACTTCTTTAGCTCTTGGTGTTTTCATTTATTATTGGGGATTGCTAGTTAGATAAGTTAGTTAAGATTTGCAATCCGACAGAGTAATGAGTTTGTTAAGAATTTTCGCTAACGACCAATTATTACTTCATATATAACCGCATGTTGAAACTTTCCTAAATGTTGTTCACTAGTTAAATCAGTCAAAATTGAATATTTTACGAAACAACATTAATATTTTCCAATAAAAACCCATAAAATCAACATCTATACCGTTTTGAAAAAGTTATAACAAAATCAAACTTTCTAAAATGGAAATTTACTTAACTACAAAAGAAGAAGACAAATTTTTATGCCGAATAAAACATTTTTCTTTAGCATTAATAATGTATTTGCAAAAAATGATAACCGATGCTATTTTAATTCTAATTATAACATACTAACCAAGATAAACTTTTTTTGAAAAATAGAGAGACTCAACTATGAGTTGAATGATGCCGAAAACAATTTCACATATAAAATACATATTTGAAATTAACAATATAAAACTATGTTAATTATTTTAATATTTAACTCATTCTTAAAATTTAATTTAAATAAGCGAACTTTTCTAACATGAAATCATCCAGGCACCTATCAAGGTCAATGGTTAAAAGGCATGCGTCATGGATTTGGTGTTAGAAAAAGTGTTCCTCGCGGTATAGCATCAATTTATCAATCTACATCGGAATATTCACCAAATAATTCGCTCAGACCTTCTTACTCTATGCCTAATGGTCTATCGTTGAAAAGAAACACATCTTCCGTGTCAAGCCATGAAGCTCTCATCTATGGTAGCACTTTAGATACACGAAAACCTGACGATTCGGATAGACATAAGGGAGGTTTTGTTTTAATTGAGAAAATAAAAGCATCTTTACCTACTTCCACTTCTCAACGTTTGCAGAGAAGTCGATCGTACAGTTTGAGTAGAACCATTTCGAAAAAGTAATTTATTTTGTATTATATGCGAGCGCACACACACAATAAAATAAAATTGGTTAAATTAATTTTGATGCAGATTAAAAATAAGACGACCGGACAGTACGAATGGTTTAAATAAGTTAGGTCATTTTGGAGAAGAGTTCAAATCAGATCCGTCAAATTTGTCCGGTTCTGGTGATACAGGTAAAAACAGTTTGGCAGCTTGCAGTGTTGATGTCAACTTGGCCAGTGTTGTTGAAACGTACGCAGGCGAATGGAAAAATGATAAAAGATGCGGCTTCGGAATCAGCAAGAGAACGGACGGTTTGAGGTAATTATCAATTATGTTGAATAAAATTATGTTGAATAATTATTTGCAATTAGTAAACAAGCTAACACAGCAAAAAACACTTCTTCCTATTTTACCATTATTTCTTCAGTTATGAAGGTGAATGGTTCAATGACAAGCGATGTGGTTATGGAACGACGTTTTATCAAGATAGATCTCGAGAAGAAGGAAAGTATCGTAACAATGAATTAATATCATCAGTTGATCAGAAACGGAAAATTTTTACAAAAAAAAAACTTAAAGATCGTGTTGAGATTTCATTGCTGGCTGCTAAGAAGGCCGCTGAAACTGCTTATCAAAAGTCTGAATCAGCTCAAACAATGTATGCATATATACTTGTTTATTAATATATCTAATGTGTATAATCAACTATTTTTGAATTTTTGAGGCGAGGAATTGCGAGAGGTAAAGCTGAAGAAGCCGAAGAAATGGCTAAAAAGGCGCATTACTTTGCAGATATTGCACAAAAACACGCCCAAAAGTTTCATCAAATATACATTGAAAAAGGTAAAATAAAATAATTAATTGAATAATAATTTTGACTAAATTTGTGCACTAAATTTTCAATTAGAAAGATTACAACAAGAAAATGAAATTGAAACAAAAACATCTAAAACTGATCTTGAAAAAGGTGATAGCGGAGATAGTCACGTATCGAATTGGTCAGAATCATCTAATAATTCTTCTGACAAAATTTTACATCAGTCTTTTCCTACTTTTGATCAATCCATAATTGATGATAATGTTTTTGATAATAAACACAATGAAGACATCAATAAGACGTCACGTGAAGTTGGCATAAATAGTGAAAAATTATTACCGCAAAATAAAACAGAAATCTCAAGTAGGAACTTCGTCGGCGTAAACTCTCCTTCGTTTATAGAACAGCAGATTTTTTCCACTCAGGGTGAAACAAATTCTCCAACGTTTAACGTTGAATCTAAATTATTGAATTCTGGCTTCGTTCATAGCAGCAAAGTTCTTAATGATGGACGAAAAAAATTTCCAACAACATTATCAACGTTGAACGACCGCAGAGACTATTTTGATAACAGTCCACCAGAAATTCCTTCTTCGCTGCAGCCACTACCGAATGGGTTTATACCATCTTTCGGTTTACCGATCAAAAATCACGTTTACGCCAATGGCAACAGCAAGCTTGATATTTATCTTAATAAAACTCATTCATTTTTTACTGGTACTCTAAACAGTAATATGGTTAGTGTTTCAAAAACTAAAACAGAAGACAGGGTCAAAAATGATAACATCAAAAAGTTTATCATCGATAATGCCGCTCCAACTAATTATAAATGCCACTTTTATGACGTTATCAGCAATTCTAATAAAAAATTAAGTGATGTCAGACGGAGATATTCAACTGATCAAAAACATTTCAATTTTGACTTTTATGATTCCTCAAAAATCACAAACCATTTAACTTTTACACCAAGCAGTAAAGTTTTTTACTTGCCCTCGTCTACTACTTTATCAACGTTTTCAAATTTAAACCAGGAAAACACAGTTCTATCGACTAGCAAAAACTATTTTCAGTTAAATAATTCAATTTCTTCTATTTATCGACAACAATTGAACAGTGAGACGAAACTGGTAATATCTACTAAATCAATCACAAATTTTCCCAAGCCAACTACTTACTCGTTCACAAACTCAATTAGAAGTTCAACAGTTTCAACTAGTAACTCAATCACAAACTCAATAACTTGCCCATCAAAAACAGAATTAGAAAAAAGTGACACGAATCATTTTGCTAATGAACGTGTAAACGCCTTCAATAATCCAGTTTTGCGGAACAAACTTTATTCTAACGTACAAGTTAGTTCGATGAATATTTGAAACTTAAAAATAAACTAATTAAAAAAATCATTTTTTTCAGAATTGGACACAAGAAAATTTCATAGTTGTCGTTTTTCTAATCATTTATGTTATTCTAGCCTTATTATTTTTCGAATATTGGTCATTACGAAACTCGTAAAAAATCTTCCACGTGCCTTTCGAAACGTCTCCGAATATCTAAAAATTCACTCTATCGTTCCTAATTTTTTTTATAATATTTAAATATAAAACCAATATATCAAAGTTTTAATTTAATATAAATACTATAATTTGGTTAATTGTGATTTAAAAGTTTTCACGTTCACTGCATGAAAATTGAATAAGAACAATAAACGATTCGATTCCTGTCATAAATTTAAAAGTTAATGAAAATTTTTTTATTTTGAAGTTTGAAATTCTCTGTTAAGCAACATGAAAAAATAAAATGAATATAATTTTTTTGGATTAGGTTTGAGTTGAAATTAATTATTAAAACTAAACTATTTTCTCAAGTTAAAGAAAAAGGATATTTAAAAAACCAAGCTTCTAGATGTAAAATATAATTAATACATTTCTACTAAATTCCACACTGATATATGACATTATTTTACTATTCTTTAAGTATGGATATATTTTTTTATTATTTCAAATAATATATTTTAAATCAAATGTATACACGTATTATTCACACAAAAAGTATTTTTTGCTGAACTATTCGTATAAAATAAATGATAAATATAAAAATGCACATTGAAAAACTAAAAATAACGTGGGCTGAATAATGACAGGCATAAAAAGTAGGGTGGTTGAAATCGCTTTTGTATTAACTTTAAAACCAAGTTGGACAACTCAATTCTGCATATTTGTGTTCGACAATTTGATTGGTTGGTAACAGAAATCAGTGAGAGTAACATGATTGCTGTTAGATTTTATTTTCATAAGTTTTCAAGTTTTTATTATTTTCAAGTGTGTTGAAATTTTAAACATGGTTGACGCATGCACTCAAGATAGAAAAAGGTTGACGTGCATTGAGGTATAAGCTTAAAGTTAACTTATACCTCAATGTTGATGTGATTGTTTTGGTAATATTAAATGAACAATTTTTTTATTCAGATTCTGGAAAAAGAGAGACCAATTTGAATTAGATGGTTTTAATGGTAGAATGGGATGAAGTGCTTAAGCCTTTCTATTGGAAGTATACAATCAAAGAGAACAATAACTGAAGAATAAGAAAAAATGATATATGGAATATCAGCGTTTAGATATGATATGAATAGACACTCGCTGGTGATTTTTATCACTGACCCGATCAACAATCAAACAGCCAGCCAGTCAGTCAACCAACTGACTGACCGATCAACCGACAGATTGATCAATTTTTGCCCTATACATTTTATACATATATTTTGCACCTGTTGTTTGCAATTATAATGAAGTAGTTAATGAAAGTTATCGGATCTTGTTAACAGTGATTATTAGCTGGAACATCCCTCGCATAATTTCGAACGGTTCGATGTATATATTGTATTTGGCATGGCTTCTCTGTTGTGGCTGCCTACAATTTTTGTTTTATACACGTCGTTTTTATATTTTATTGCCAAAACTGGTTCCAATAACAACCAGTAAGGTAAATTTTACTCGTTTGCAATATGGTGATGGTCTCAATATAAATAAATTGAATATATAAATTGTGAAATAAATCAAATTTTTTAATTAATAGTGTTAGTTTTGGCATCCCGAACAATATTCAAGAATTGTCTAAGTTTTCTGAAGAGTTAAAAGAATATTCAGAGAAGCATCCGTATCACGTCTTTACCATATATTGTTTGACATATATATGGAAACAAACGTTTGCCATTCCAGGATCATTTTTACTTGTATGTAAAAAATACTTGTTCAATATATTTTTATATTATATATTTATAAATTATTATATTGTATTATATATTATAATATATTATATATATATTATATATGAATGACCTCTTAGTTGTTTTTTTGTTGACATATATTATAACTTACAATTTAATAATCTGTGAATTTAAATTTTAAAAATATATAAAAACGTTTTTTTTAGAATATATTAGGTGGAGCATTGTATGGGACTATCAATGGCCTAATTATTACATGTATCTTAACAGCTACAGGAGCTACATTGTGTTACCTTTGGTCTTACTACCTTGCCAGACCTTATGTCATCAAATTCTTTTCAACAAGAATGGAAACACTTTCTGAAAAAGTTTATATTGTTTTTTAAATTCCTTTTTTAACTTTCAACAAATTAATTATTAAATTATTATTACTTTTACTTTACATCAGATAAACAATTTGAATGGATCCTTATTTATGACCCTCATTTCACTTCGAGTGATGCCTATGACACCCAACTGGCTTCTTAATATTACTTTACCAGTTTTAGGAATTCGACTTCATTATTTTACTTTGTCTGTTTTATTAGGTTATACTATAGAAATTTAATAATTTAGTTTTTCTATGTCCTATCTCAATTTTATTTAACCAGGCTTGATGCCATACAATCTAATCTGTGTACAGTCAGGTAGGATGTTGTCTGAGATCCACTCTTCGTCAGATGTCATCACATTGTCAGTTATGGTAAAACTTTTACTCGCAACATTCCTTTTATTAATGCCAAACATTTTAACAATAATATTTAAAAAAATTTTATCAAACAAAACTAAAAACGAATGCAAAAAATTGTTATGATTTGTATAAATGATAGCATTTAATGTTTTGTAAACAAATAAATGTTCTTAAGCTTTATTCTCAATGTCTTCTGTTAGATAGCCACACCAAATACACTAACTATGCAGTACATTGTCTTGTTTTCCCATCTAATAGTGCAGCTTCCTGATAGTTATTAGGATTTATTATTTGTATACATTAAATTTTGATAATCTAACTTACCATCAGTAATACTATCCCAATAACATGAACTAGCTGTGTGTAATCCAGCCCCACTCTTTTGCATTATTACACATGTGACTTGAAAAGAATCAAGGTGATATTTAGATAGTATTTAGATTTGCTTAAATTAAAATTGACGTTAATTTTAAATTTAATATTTTACTCCTGAATTCCCAATGTTTTTACATGGTTTTCCAAAGTTATGAAGCAAAGTGATATATTCATAACTTCAAATTGATATAAATAACATTTGAATTTTCAATAATTGTTGGGTCAATATATTGTTACCAATATATTTGAATGGCTTGCCCAATTTTGATAACTGGTTTAGGCATTGTTCAACTACATTGTTGGTCCACGGGTTGACTTTGCTGTGCTGGTACATACTCCCACCAATTGCACTTTCTATTGCCTTTTTTTAAATTTTGTAATATGCTAAAAAAATGTTTGCAATTATTAATTTATTATGATCAGTGTCTAAGTCTAATTGAATTGTTTATGTAGGTTAATGTAGGTAGGTAAAAGTAGAATGTAAGAATTGTATTTAAAAAATATTTCCATGTTGATTTTAATAAATAATAAAATTTATTTATTAAATAAATAAATAAAATACCTCTTTTATAACGTTGCTGACGTCATCAACCACAAAAGTTGTCTTAAAATTAATTTAGCAAATAACATTATTAAAAATTAATTTTAAAATGTAATTTAAAATTAATCTCAAAATCTAAATTTAACATACTTCCTCAGAGGTGAGGCCGTCTTCCATTTTCGAACGTTAACTAAAGAACACTATCGTTGCTAAGGGCAACAAAATGGGGGATTTATTTGGAAGAAGCGAGATGGATCGTTTTTTTTATTTACCCATATCAATTATAAATATATACATACATATAGAATATATAAATTCTTTTTATTTGGATATGTATATATATATATATATATTTATTTATCAAAAATTTATAAGGGACCTAAAAAGTTTTTCAAAACCATAACTAAAATAATACAATAAATGAATGGTCTAATGATCATTTTAAATTAATAGATACCATTTATAACAAAAATGCATATGATATATATATATATATATACATAGATAGATAGATATATTGACAATATTTATAGGGCCCATTCAATGTTCTTGCAGGGCACTCTCAAAATAAAAAAAACTTAGGCTAATTGTGATTAGAAATTTTTTTTATTTATGTTTCAGGGATTTAACCAAAGTTTATACCAATAAAGAAAGTTTCCGCATAAGAGGTGTCTATATTTTTTTTTTTAAAAGTCTGTGACCAATATATGTTGATAGCAAATATTTACCTTGACATCATTTTTATATGTATGGTAGCATATTTTTTGCTTTGGCACTAGTCCACGATGTCGGCATTCGCCTTCAATAATAAGACCTTTATATTACGATTCATGAGAGTATTTGGTAAGCTTTCGAATAAAAATAATTTTACAGTTGGGATCGTACGTCATGAAGGAATGCATTAAAACGGTCACAGGCCAATTAATGCGACTATTGTTGATTGACATGGTAGGTTTTCTAGTCAGTGTTGCTGCTGTCCCATCAATCCCATGCGTGTTTAAGTTTAACTTTAAATTTTACGACCTTCAAACCTGACAGTGGAATTATCGGGGGGTGACGCGTTTTTTTTATGAAGATTGTCACCAAGTTTATTTCGATTTAAATGTTCAAATTTTCTATTTTCCAGTTTAGTAAGAGTTTTATGTTCTCGGTTAGTATTGTTGTGTTTATAACAGACTTTTGTTACGTTGTTTATCGTTTTTTATTCTAAAAATGAGATGTAATGTTCTGTTAAGTTGTCAAAAATTTTCTATGCCAAGACAAGTGCAAAGCTTAAATGTAAATATAACTTGAACAATTCAAATAAATTATATTTGGACATTTTGTTATTTCTTGAGATCATTTACAAATTATAACGAATCATATCAAGTAAAGTGTACAACAAATGTTATTTATTATCCGTCACTCATCATCATCATCATTCTTTTCTAATTTAACTTTCAGAAGAGCTGCAATAAACAATATTTGAATTTATTTACATATTAACTATTAAGATATTTCAAATGTAAACATTACCACGTCCAGATATATATATATATATATATATATATATATATATATATATATATATATATATATATATATATATGCAATTATTGATTAAAATCACAGCATCTTCGGCGTTAGTTAACATCCTGTCTAACTTCCGACGTCCAAGCAAACAACGAAAACTATAGTATTAAACTACGAACATACCTACTACTCCAACCAAAGAACGTCATCTCTTGTGATGAAAAACAACTGCACTAGTAAACCTGAATCGATAATGGATCATGGCCATCTAATATATTTGTTCAAATGTAATATTGGTGAGTGTGGGCACCATAATTCCGAATATATTGATATGACGACGACCAAGTTATCGAGAAGATTCACGATGCACGTACAAACTGACGCTATAAAGAATCACATGATAGAGAAACACAAAACTTAAATTACTAGACAAATTTTTGACCACAACTTTGAAATCTTACATTACAGTAACCATTATAATTTACGACTAGCCGAATCAATACTCATAGAACAAGACATCCGATAATAAATATTCAACAACGGGCAAATAGAATTCTTCCTACCAATAAATTTACAAACATAGAAATCATCGATAATGAAAACAAGTAAAAGTGTTTTATTTATCGATAATGAAAACACGTAAAAAGTGTTATATTAAACGAAGATTAAAATTGTAAAACTAATTAAATGGGCGTTAAGTAATTACTTTGAACAAACAAGGAATCAACACAGTCTATATATATATATATATAATATATATATATAATATATATATTATATATATAATATATGTATATAATATATATATTATATATATATATATATATATTTACAATATTCTATAAATTCTACCGAATGTTT